ATTGAATATTTCCTTCTATACTTTTTAGCACGTAGCTATTTATTATTAGCATTATTCTTCCGACGTCTGATTTCTTTTTAATTACAGAAAATGCGTTTTTCTAAGGTACATAAACTTTTGAGATTGACGGTATAGCCAATACATCCTTAAATAAGAAGTCTATCGACAAACTCCGTAATTATTTAGTTAACAGATTAGATTCTGAATTGATTAATTCATCGTTATGAATGATTATCAATAGAGGTGTAAGGGATTTACTGCAATTTCCACGCCTCTAGGCTATATTGTTCGCTATGGCATCGTCTTCCCTGAACATAGAAGCTTCTTGTGTGTCGAGTAGTGTTGCGATTGTGCTTGTTTATGTATCCACGTTTAGGCCGAGGACGGAGGGAATGCGATCTGAGCAGGGAAATGCGCTGTGACGATGGACAATGCGTTTTGCTTCGACGCAAATGTGACAATGTCTTCGACTGCTTGGATGGCAGCGACGAGCGCAATTGTGGTAAGCTTGCTTTAGCCACCCCTTCGGTCACTCAGTTCTGTTATCGATAAATTTTGTGAAAATTTTTAAACGTTCTGAGTGACCACATCCTCTTCCTGTTCTTCAACTCACGACGATGGTCAGTAACGTGTTTGGGTCTTTGACCCTTTGGGAATCACAGAGACACGTTCATTTAACGATCTTTTTTATAAGATTAATTCCCAAAGGGTTGAATGAGATATCGTTATTGAAATCGCAAGGGTCGAAGATCCTCACAGGTCCTATCTGAGCTTTTCGTTGAGCCGATACTTGTGTCAAGGTGTCTGCACGCCGGCCGAATGGAAATGCTCCAGCGGTGAGTGCATTCCGGAGGTCGAGAGGTGCGACGATCAGATCCAGTGCCCCGACGCCTCCGACGAGATCGGATGTGGTAATTATCGGTTGACAAAGAAAGCTCAATGGGGTGAGAAATGACCTGGCCACAATGATCCTACCGAATCGTTCCCTGCCGTAGAAGCATAAATCCAACGACTGACAAAACTAAAGCAGCACATTTCTTACTAAAAGAAATCCATATAATAATTTCATTGATAATAAGCATCGTCTACTAACATCGCATTCCCTCGTGGAGATTATCCACTCTCTCCCACAGAGGTAAAACTCGGACACAGTTCCTGGCGAGTCACGATCTTTGCATGTTCTCTGCATGACTTTTGAAAGCGAATAAGCATGCAATGATTCAGTGTTGCAATCGCTTACGAAGTTTTCGTTGTACGAGCTGATGAATTTTTGTACTCGTTCGTCCGATCTCGATCGATCGTGTTCCATATTAACATTTACTAATCTGTACGACGAAAGGATCGAACCTTTGGTACATTGGGTTTGTCGGAGATGCTCGTAAGTACCGTTTCCTATCCTGAACCGAGATGGATCCGATCCAGGTGACGACAGAGTTCACTTTTTTTTACACGTACGAGACGTCGATCGTTTTCGTTACGTATTAAATGTGTGAATCTTTAGTGGACTCTGTCGAGGGCATTTCTCTCCCTAGAGTCGTTTACTGGCTCTAACAGGGAAACGCCTGGGCTATTTTTTTTTTGGGTAGTAAGCGAATGTCCGGCTGGAACGTTTCGATGCAACGACGGATTGTGCCTGGACAGTAAGAGACGTTGCGATGGTCGACCGCACTGTTTCGACGGCTCCGACGAGATCAACTGTACCCGTAGTAGTACGATTTTTCTCTGTCTATCTGTCTTCTCTGTATCTCGGAAAGCTGATCCGCGTCGCAGATATTAATGATGGATAGAAGCGATTTTTACCAATCGAATTTACAATTTATTGAAACAGAGAGAAAATTCTTGTTATTTATTATAGAGGAATTTAATTCGTTCACTCGAACGTTGGGTCGGCTGGGTTTGAGAACCACTGACGACCCACCTGCCCTATTTTTATGATGCAAAGAGTATAGTTTGCTTAGAGGAGGTTCCTCGTTTTTGCCACTACGTTCCCTTATTTTTTGCCAATTTGGCCAACGTAGCTCGGCGATGCTACCAGAAAAGTGAAAGAGTAAACTTGGGTAAAAAAAAAGAATAACGCGGACCACATCTGACCCGAGATCCTCGGCAGGGATCGCCAATTAAACAATTCATGTTCGGAATCCATCGATTGTCTGGAACGCGGATCGGCCAAGAGACCGGTTCTTCTTTTATTCTCGACTTCCTTTGCCTGTCAATCCACCCGCTCTCTTCGGGTTAAGCCCACCGCACCTTGATGAATTATTCTGCGACCGGGTATCGACGTATCCTCGCATGAACGCAGGGAAAAATGAGTTTCTTCTAATTAATTCTTTTTCAGATACCCCCGTACGCACGAATTCGTGTCTCTTCAAGAATTAAACTCCTAACTTCTAATTAATTAGAAAATTTATGAGTAAAGTCAAATCCTGAATGAGAAAGAACGAAGAAGTGTGAAACGATTTGACGAATTTGTTGATATAAAATTGAGCCTAAACCATCGTAAGGCGTCGTGAAAAACTGCGAAGCCAAGAGAATGGAAATCGATGCGTACGCGGAGGGGCCCGTAGCTCTTGGGTGGGTCGCGCGTCGGTCTTCAAGGCGGCAATTAAGAAGCTGTAACTAACGCCGGCTCGTCCGGTCGCGCCATGCGAGCCGTTAATCTCGTTTCCCTCGATTCTATCGACCGTGTTCGAGCCGGACGTTGACTGCCGGCCTCAGCTTTGAACATCGACGCCCAGCCCGAACAGGTCGAGGCTACGGAATCAGGAACAAAGTTCAACAATCAAATCTTGTCCCGATGGCTCAACGAAGTCCGCTACAGAAATGATTTCTTTTATTATCTTCGGTAATAATTACGTGTTAAAAGATTTGATTAAGATGGTTAAATTCCAAACGTCGTTCAATCGAAATCCTCGTAGGACACCGAGGTTCCAATGAGAATTACGAGATGACTGACGTTAATAATGGATTAGAGAGGTAACAGGATGCAGAAGTTGGGTTGATAACACTGTGTAGAGGTTTTGGGTTTGCATGGGGTGGCGATTCCTTTGCATAAAAATGAGCAGGAAAGTTGTTCCTCTTGGAAAGCTTCGTTTTTGGAGGAAATTGAACTTGAAGAGCTTCCACCATGGTTCTCATTTTACCTGACACTAGTTACTGCTCTCACGAAATAATTCCACCATTCCACAATTGGTAGAAATTATTCAGTTGTCGTTTAATAAATAGTCGCTCTGTAATTGAAGTCAATTTTTGATGCTCTATTATTAGAAACTAGAAAGGGTGTTTAAGGTTGTATGAGTAAGGTTGTAAGATCTCTGCTAAAAGTTTAAGGCATGTAATAAAAAGCTGTGTACAATATTTAAAGGGGAAAAATTATGTTTGCATACTTTTTATTGTATATCTTAAATAATATTCGAAGTTGACATTATTTCAAGTTTAAAATATTATTAAATGAATTGTACGAAATTATAAAATTCTGCCATNTTTTATTAATGTAATATCTAGTAACTGTTAAAATTTCAATGCTTTGTCATTGTTTTTAGGGTTCATACAAACTTAATGGTATTGATCAGAATCATGTGTAATAGCAACACTTTTTGAAGTTGCGTCGGCTTGAGAACCAGCGATGCGAGAGCACGCATACGCGACCGAGTTTCAAATCTTTCCTCAAGAACGAAAGCTCGAGGGTGGAAAATATATTTTCGACTTATTTTTCTCAGAAATAATCGCCCCATTAAATTCTTTCGCGTAAAACTTGAAGAACAAGAATTCAATCTTTCCTCGAAATCATTTCTTTATTGCTCGAGTAATTCCCTAAAGAAACTCGATCCGATCCGTAGCCTCGATCATCGATCATCGAATCTTTACGTATTTCAGCTAACAAATAAATTTCTAATCGTATTTTATATTTAATTAACGAGAGAATTTTCCTTCTAAACTTTCTCTTTCACTTTCTCACTATTTCTGTGTCTTACTTTTTATCGATCTCCTCTTTCAGCACAGGTTGCCTGACCTTGATATGTACATACGTTTCTCTGTCACTGATTCTATATGTATATACATTTATATATATAATCTTTATGTATCTTCTCTCCGCTCTATGGTACTCGTGTTGATTTAGATCGTAAGTTTTGCACAAGCACGTACACAGGATCCTAGGATCGATAAATCTACGAGCCCTTGCGTACACTGGTGCCACGCAGGAAGATAAAGAATTTTTATTTTAAATAATAAAAAATTGATTTAAGCACCATTATACGCAAGAACATATACGCCTCTGTCTCTGTCTGAGTTTCTCTCACGTACACATAGAGACTTAGATTTACGAGGCATCGCCTTTTGCCTAGATCTTTCTGTTTGATACCGTTTAAACGTTTCCCGTAGCATTTGGAAAGTACATGTAATACCATCGCCGCGCACTGGCTCCCTAGGGAGGACGTAGTTCACGGAGTTATCGTGGCCATAGTAGAATTTTCCTACTTAAACACTCTTGCCGATACGCACACGCACGCGCCCGGGTCCACCGATGCGAAATTATTGTATTCACTATCCCTTCGCGCCTTTGGCGTTTATCCGATCGATTTCGCATGATTAACTGCATAATTGACACCCACCGATAACGATAACGTATTGCACCGTGTTCGCATCCGAAAAAGTTTCCGGCCCGACTTTTCCGATTTTACGTGGTAGAGAATCGTCGCGTTCATTTCGCATAATTCGTGCGTATCGAATTTCTATAGAAACAGTAATTATGTTCGATTAGAAAAATAAAATTTATCAGAGACCGCAGTTTATAGTGTTTAAAACGACGGATTTTTCAATCATTTAATAGATGATTTAAAATTGAGAAAACGTAATACAGGCCAAGTGGGATGGTGCATTGGTATTCCTAATTACTTTGCATAAATATTGATAATCGCCTAAGGGGAGTACCGTCACGGGAGATCGGTGCAGACCACGCGTGGTCGAGTTAAAAACGTCGCGTCGCATGACACCCGACAGTGTGCACGCTGTTTGTTTGACGGGTTTATCCTTGTTGGTATCTCGGCTGGGACGGTCCCTATCGATCGCTTAATTATCCTGGGCCACTTATTCAACCTCTCATTTAATACCAGCCACACTGAATCGATCAAACTTTCTATTATACACTGCGAATCCCATAATTATTGGCACACCAGTTGTATTTAACGTGTTAATAATTTTGGGACCTTTCTTTGTACATACTTTAAACGTCCTGGCTGCCCAGTCGAGGTTCTCTTTACTTCTGTGTGTCTTAAAAAAATATTCTACAAGACTTTTTAATATAATGAGGAATATTGTATTCTTTTATTTATTAAACATTTATGGTGTGACGGTTTAATGGGGAAACTCGTCTACTTCTTTTCTATTTTTCTCGTCTCTGTTTCTTCAATTTCTTTTAGACGTTTTGGAAACGTCACCCTTTCCCTCGGTAAATGGTCTGATCATTTTTTTCAGAATGCCCCGAGGGACAACTGCCCTGTGCCAATGGTGTCTGCATCAACCAGAACTTCTTCTGCGACGAGAACATCGATTGCCACGATGGCAGCGATGAACGCGACTGCGGTAAGCGCTTGGCGACGTACTTATTCTAAACTGAGCATCGACAGAAAATACGAATGCCTCTTTCACCGATCGATATTTTACATTGTCGATATTTTTTTTTATGACTCTTAGTGAAAACTTAAATAGATTCGTCAATGTTTAAAAGAAATGCTAAAAAAAATAGAGAGTATTGCATAAAATATTTAAACGTGGAAACAGAGCACGCGGGCCAGCCGGGACCACCGAGCGTCGAGTGCAGAGCAGACGAGTTCACCTGCCGCGATGGAAGCTGCATCCCACGATCCGCGGTCTGCGACCGAAGGCCCGACTGCCCTCACCAAGACGACGAGCTCAACTGTCGTCAAGGTATATATTTCTGTAAAATGTAAATTGAACGCGTGTGCAAAACGACAGAAACTGGCCCATGGACCATGGGAACCGGTCGAGATATTCGCAGACGTCCAGATTTTAATCGAACCTTTGAGACAAACCCCTGATAAAAAGGATCAGAAGGTACTTCGATTAAGTCTGAGGACGTCCGACCACGTCGTGGTCGTTTCTACTACCTGTACATAAGCTCCATTCGATCTTGCACACTATGAGAACCAGTAGCTCACGCAACGCACCAGGTGCATATATTACACGCAATGTTTGGCCATTCGTGTCCACCGCCTGCTAGAGGCAACCAGAAAGTGATGCACTTTGTACATGACGTGCACCAAAACGCGAACTCCGTTCTAGACTGACATCGGATCGTCGGATCTAAATTATTACAATTCCTATAAGAATTAAAGATATGAAAAATGTAATTTATTTGGTCGTAAATCGTGATCTATTGTCAGTCTATGAGAAATGCAACAGTGACCTTTCCCCTGGAGAAGTATAATAGTAAGTAGTCGCAGGGTAAATCGCAAAGGACGAGAGCAGAGGTGTTGAACGAAGGGATGATGAGGAGAAGTGGTTGAGTTTGGGTTACTTCTAGGTAAAGACGGTTCGGATAAAAGCGAGCAAGCCACTGGCAAGGGTGGCTCGGATTATCACCCGGCTAATCAAACCGCGAGGAGTTGCGCCCCGGACGATTTTGTTTGCGCCGACGGCACTTGCATCCCCGAAACCCACCACTGCGACCATTTCTACGATTGCCGTGATTTTACCGACGAACAGTTTTGCTTCGGTTAGATTCTACTGGCAGACCTAAGAATCTGATCGGCGTCCCTCCTCCTCCTCCTTTTCCGTCCCCGTCCCGCGACCCCTTCTCAACCCTCGAGTGGATCATCGAAACCACGAATCGAAACCGAAGTTCGTTTCATCAAGAATCGACGAAGTTTGATTTAAGTATAAAACAGATGATCCGCTCGAAGCTGTTCATTACGATCTTCATCATCGATCTCTATCTGTATCGTGTAATGATTTAAATCTAGATTTTTAGACTGGATTTAGGGAATGAACTTAGAATTTAAGTTCAGGACGCCACAGATTCTGGGCTCTGCATTTCAGTTGTGTGTTTAGCAACCGACTAGACGGTGTGTAGGTTGCCCGAGTAGAAATTTGAGTGAATTCTACTCGTCGTCAGTGAGACGTTCGATGCACCTCTGTGTAAAATATTTCTGCATCCGATATTCTTACCTAAATTTTATTCAAGTAGAAATGCTAGCAAAGTAGAATTGTGGCATGAAACGGTAGCGTTTTTTACTTCGTGTTATTGAAACTGTCCTACGTAGATATAGTGAAACGAGCACAGAATTCATCTCTTTGTATGTTGGTCTCATTTTACTGTACGTTCGCCTCTAGCATTTTAGGTACTCCAATGGTTTCCTCGATTTAGTAATTTGAAAACACGATAGATCCTTTGTGTCTCGTTCGATTTATTAATTGGATTTGTAAACTCCTCCTCTGCTCGAGTCGCGGGCGTTCTTTGAAGTTGAGTAAACGTTTCTCTAGGCTGTGCCAAGGATCAGTTCCAATGCTCGAACGGTGACTGCATCAGGGCCGATCAGAAGTGTGACAACGTCATCAATTGTGCGGATGGATCTGACGAACCCGAGGAATGTGGTACGTATACCTCGTGCCATTCGTGTCCGCGGGATACTTTATATCTGATTTCTGTGCCAGATCAACCCGGCTCTCATCCGATGCCGGGCCGTTGCCCCAGCGGCTACATCATGTGCGTCACCGATAAGAATTGCGTGCCCCAGTCTTCCATTTGCAATGGAGTTCCAGAATGCAGAGACAGATCCGATGAAGAGAATTGCTGTACGTAATTCATAGATCAATCTGATCATCGATCAATTAGATATATTTTAACTGCGTAATCGACTATTTAGATCCACCTAGAGATTCTCACCTGCTGTTGAAGACCTACCCCAGCGAGCAAGTGATCAAAGAAAGTAAGTTATCGATTGAATTATTAACCCGAATCGAGTAATTGTTAAAAATCGTAGAGTAATGAGAGTTTTGATTATTTTTCTTGCTCGGCCAGACCCGGCGAAGCAAGGTAAGAATTTTTGAGGAGCAAAGTAATGCCATGAAACTGAAAATGTGATTAATGAATCGTCAGATCATAGGCAATTTTACAATCAGGCTTTGTGTTTTAATCAAGAGCATTCTTTATTAAGATTCATGTACATGATATTTACAAATACATTTACTACCGTCACGTTGTTCACACATTACGTCGAACAGTAACACAAACGCTGCTTCCAATTATTTTACACGATTAATCAGACGCGAGTAACACGTAACGAAGCCCGGAACGATTCTCCGGTTGCTACAATTTTATTTGGGGACGTCAGGTCGCGAGGTGGTGTTCCAATGCCGAGACGAGGGTCCCCTTCGCGCGAGAGTACGCTGGCTCCGCGGGAACAATCTTCCTCTACCTCCCGGAAGCCGTGACATCAACGGACGTTTAGAAATCCCGAACATTCAACTGGACCATGCGGGAGCGTATATCTGCGAGGCCGTGGGTTACCCTTCGTCGACTCCCGGTCAACAGCTGACCGTCTACCTGACCGTAGAAAAGTTCGAACCACCGGCGACGAGCAGACCCCACGTGTGTCAATACGACGAAGCCACTTGCAGCAACGGCGACTGCATCCCGAAATCGTACGTCTGCAACGGGAAAGTGGATTGCACCGATGGCTCGGACGAGATGCGTTGCAGTCCGCATGGCTGCGAACCGAACGAGTTCCGTTGCAATAATACGCAATGCGTGAGCAAGGTGTGGCGATGCGACGGTGATAAAGACTGCGCCGACGGCAGCGACGAAGAAAATTGTGCCCCGTCCAGACCTGGCTCTCCCTGTCGTAACACGGAATTCGCTTGCAGAAGCAACGATCAGTGCATACCGAGAAGCTATCATTGCGACTTCGACAAAGATTGTCTGGACGCCAGCGACGAGATCGGATGCTCGCCGGTTTACATAGTGAAACCACCACCACCCATGATCACTTTGAACAGGGGAGAGACCTTGGTGATCGTATGTTCGGCGGTCGGCGTGCCCGTTCCTGAAATCAATTGGCGTCTCAACTGGGGCCACGTTCCACCGAAGTGCAGCATGATATCTGTGAACGGAACTGGCACCCTCACTTGTCCCGATATTCAGATCGAAGATCAGGGTGCTTATTCTTGCGAAGGATTGAACACCGCCGGCTTCGTGTTCGCCGTGCCGGACGCCATCGTGATGGTGAACAAACCTGACGAAGACGTCTGCCCGAAGGGTACATTCAACTCCGAAGCGAGATCCGTCGACGAGTGTATCTCCTGTTTCTGTTTCGGAGTCGCCACCGAGTGTCACAGTGCCAATTTGTTCACTTATCAAATCCCACCGCCGTTCGATCGGCATAAGATCGTGGGAGTTCAGTTCCAGCCGCAGGAAGTGAACGTCCAAACAGTGTCCGTGCCTTTCTCGTATTTGACGTCTGTGGGTCGCGACGGGTTCCACGTTTCCGAGCCCGAGTTGGGACTACACGCTCTCACGATCGACGATAGGATCCCCTATTTCGCGCTGCCTGAAAATTATCACGGGAATCAATTGAAATCGTACGGTGGTTACTTGAAGTACAGAGTCAGATTCAACGGCACCGGATCACCGAATACCAAACCATCGGTGATTCTCAGTGGCAACGGTTACACCTTGACTCATAGAGGTAATCAACTAATACCGAATTACAACAACGAAGAATCGGTCAGGTTCTTCCAAGGAGAATGGGATAAGCAACAAGGATGGAACGAAGTCCCTGCAACCAGAGAAGATATCATGATGACTTTAGCGAACGTCGATAATATTTTGATTAAAGTACAGTACGACGATTCACCAGACTTGGACGTACAGATCACTCATATAATAATGGACACTGCTGATATAAGGAACACGGGACTGGGGTCTGCGGTATACGTCGAGGAATGCCGGTGTCCTTCGGGATACACCGGTCTGTCTTGCGAACAGTGCGCGCCAGGGTATCAGAGAAGAGAGAACGGTCCTTGGCTGGGTCAGTGTTACTCCGCTGAGCCACCTTGTCCTCCGGGATATTACGGAGATCCTATGAGGAACATTCCGTGCCAGACGTGTCCCTGCCCACACACTACTCCTTCCAATCAGTGAGCAATCATTCATTCATATAAAATAAACCTGACGTTTCTTCGAAAACGATTTTCTATAATTATCGTGGATTTTAATCAGATTCGCACGTACGTGTCACCTCGGATCCGACGGTCAGCCCACCTGCGATTGTCCGCCAGGGTACGTCGGCCGTAGATGCGAGCAGTGCGACGTGGGATACCAAGGGAACCCGCTCATCCCAGGCGATATGTGCGTCCCGACGCCCCACTGCGATCCCGATGGCAGTTTGAGCGTAGTCGCAGATCCCAACACCGGACGTTGTCGATGCAAGGTATTAAATTTTTCGGAATTCTAAAAGAGTAGGCCTCCTTTGGATATAGTTTGTATAATATACAAGTGTTGATTCATGCTCTCGTTTAACTCGGAATCCTTTGTCACAAAGTAAGTACGATTCGGAGGATTCATGGCGAGAGTGTCAGATTCGATCTGAATAAGTGTTCGTGCATGTGGTTTAACAAACTATGATTTGCAGTTGTACGCGACGGGGCTAACTTGCAACCAATGCAAGGTGAACACGTTCAACCTGGCTATGAAAAACCAATTCGGCTGCATCAGCTGCTTCTGCATGGGCATCACGAGAGACTGCACCTCGTCCAATTGGTACAGAAACGACGTAAGTAAAATCGTATATAATCTTTCAGTTCCGAATCAAATTTCCAAAGCAGCGCAAAGATAAAATCTGATCGTAGATTCGAGTATCGTTCACGAATTCCGTCAGAGACTTCTCTCTGATCGAGTCCAAGACACCAGACGCTCCACCGCTCACGGATGACATTCGCCTGGACACGGTGAGACGCGAGATCATCTACAACGAGTTCCCGAATCGTGGAAACAACGACGTTTATTACTGGCAACTGCCTAGCATATTCCTTGGTGATCAGATCACTTCTTATGGTGGCAATCTCAAATACACCGTTCGCTACGTTCCGGCACCGGGTGGCCAGAGTTCCAAGAACAATGCTCCCGATGTGGAATTAATCAGCGCGAACGATATCAATTTGTTGTACTTCTCCCGAGAATTTCCCGAGCCGAATACACAGCAGACGTTCACCGTTCCTCTGTTAGAACAATATTGGCAACGGAACGACGGGACTCAGGCTGATAGAGAACATTTATTAATGGCTCTAGCCGACGTGCGCGCTATTAGAATTAAAGCTACGTACACGACACACACAGACGAGGCTGCTCTATCGTTAGTATCGTTAGACACTGCTGAGAAGTATAATTCCGGTCGGGCTAGAGCAGTAGAAGTCGAGGAGTGCTCTTGCCCCGTGGGTTACAAAGGTCTCTCCTGCGAGGACTGCGACGTTGGGTATACGAGAGCTAGCGAGGGTCTTTATTTAGGATTCTGCGAGCCTTGCAACTGCAACGGACATTCTAGTCAGTGCAATCCTGACACTGGAATATGCGAGAACTGCCTTCATCACACCACCGGCGATTCCTGTGAAATTTGTGAGCCAGGATACGACGGCGATGCGTCTCGTGGAACTCCCAACGACTGCGTTTACAGAGGAACAGAGAGGCCCCCGTGTATTTGCAACGAATCTGGATCGCGTAGTAGTTTCTGTATCGGCGATCGATGCGACTGCAAACGCAACGTCGAAGGACCTCAGTGCAATCGCTGTCGCCCAGGCAGCTTCGGGCTGTCTACAGACAATCCAGACGGTTGCAGCGAGTGTTACTGCAGCGGAGTCACCGACCAATGCCACGAGAGTTCTCTTTACGTTCAACAAATACCCGTCTGGGTTTACGATAATCAACACGGTTTCACGTTGACCGACGCGACCAGGCAAGAGGTGATCGACGATGGTTTCGAATTGAACTTCGCCATGAACGAAATTGGTTACCGATATCCTGACAGCAGAGGAAGAAGGCTCTTCTGGTCGCTGCCTGTCATTTTCACGGGCAACAAAGTGAAGAGCTACGGCGGCAATCTCACCTTGACTCAACACATAACGGCTTATCCCGGTGCGCAGAGCTACAAAGATCAAGATATCATCTTAGTCGGCAACGGAATCACTCTCTTCTGGACGAATCCTAATGACATCCAACCGGATGTTCCTCTGACTTACTCTGTACCGCTGAGGGAGTCGGAATGGAAACGTTTGACCACCGAGGGACCTCGGGTGGCTTCGAGGATCGACTTGATGACCGTGTTATCGAACCTGGAGGCTATACTAGTCCGCGCGACGCACAGTGAACGAATGTCAGCTACCTACATCAGTGACATCAGCTTGGACACAGCTGTGGAACACCTGACAGGGAACAGAAGAGCGACTCAGGTAGAGGTTTGTAGATGCCCGACAGGCTACGTGGGAACATCTTGCGAATCTTGCGCTAGAGGCTACTACAGAGATACGAACGATCGATCCGTGAGCTACTTGGGTTCCTGCAAGCTGTGTCCTTGCAACAACAACGAGAAGAGCTGCGAGATGACCAGGAGCGGCCAAGTGAAGTGTCACTGTCAACCAGGATACGTCGGCCAGCATTGTCAGGACATAGGTACGTGCGATCTCACATGAGTACTAACGTTTTAGGAGATTTTGCTAGAATCTAATTGTCTGGTAATCTAGTATGTGAGGGAGAATTGTTGTCGAGCGAGAGGAAAGATTTTTTTGAAAGTTGTATCGTGAATTAGGTAAGCTGATGGTTAATCTAACGCCAATGTCGAGCACGGTAAAGCCGAACACGTCGATTATGTTCACGTGCAGTTACGAGTTCATGGACTCGTTGTATATCACTTTTAAATTGACTCCGCTCGATTGGAGACCATTGACCGCGAGCAGCGGCTATCCAGGCCCGATCGAGAGGAATCCGAAGGGCGCGTCTAGGAGGTGGCAGGTTTACGCCCGGAACTCTCCGTTCAACGTGGAGTGCTTCATCCGGGATCAATACGGCAAGGAATTGATCAAAGTCGTGACATCGATTACGCCAGGTTTGCTGGATCAAATCAAACGGATATCTGTGTTGTCCGTCTCTGGGATGGATCAGAATGGGCTATCATACGATCGAAGACATTTCTTCATGGGACAATCATTACCCTTTATCGTGTGTCTGTTCGTTCGTAGAAGATCTTGTATTTTCATTCTCTTCATCGTCGGATGAATTTCTCCTTTAGTACCGCCCGTCTGTTAAGGTGTACGCTTGATAGATCTGTCATCATTGGTTCTGGAGCTTCTCATTGGTGTAGGAAGTTGATTTTGTGGAAATATCGTTTCTCACAGTTTTCTAATTTCTCTCGGCGCTCCTTGCAGACGAAACTTCCACGGGACCCACCACTCCGTACCCTCCTATACCAACACCGAAGATCATAGTTTACATCCAGGGACCGGAGTTCCAGATTGTGGAAACCGGAAGTACTGTTCGGTACCACTGCTCCGGAAGATCTTTGGACAATGTGAGTGTAGACGACGGTGTCTTCGGGAAAGTATTAATTGCCTTTTACTGACGATTCGTGTGAATCCAGGGATCGTTACGCGTCTTGTGGGAGAAGCAGGGTGGTCAGTTGCCACCGGGAAGGAGCGTCGACGATAGCCAAGGCTTGTTAATCATCCGAGACGTGAAAGTGTCGGATAGTGGTACTTACATTTGCCAAGTGACCGACGGGGTTTACATCGGCCATAAGAACGTGACTCTCACCGTTGGCGGTAAGAAGTTATTTAGTTAATTAATAGTTACTCTGAGTCTCTTAAATCTATATCTATTACGTGGACGCAGCTTTTCCGCAAAGCTTGCTCGACATCCCAGGTACAAGTTTCGTGTCAAGTTCCTTTCCAGCAATTCTTCTATCAATGCTTAAGATCGGCGTTTCTGTTCGAAGGCTCGACAGAGGCACCCAGGGCTGTGATTCAACCATCGTCTCTGGAAGTGTACGTCGGCGAACCCGCAGAGTTTAGATGCGAAGCTACCGGAAACCCACCGCCTCAAATCGAATGGATTCGCGTCCACGGTCCCATGAATCCGGAAGTGGTAATCTACAATGGAGTTTGGAGTCTCAGAGCTGTATCTAGGAACGACGCTGCGGAGTACAAGTGCGTGGCGAGGAACCACTTGGGGACAGACGAGAGGACCTCGATCCTTTACGTCAGAGGTGCATGTCGAACCATTGAACATTTACTAGAATCTTTATCCTATTTGAAAAATATAATCGTGATACCTTTTTGTATTCGTTTAAAGACAATCCAACAGGGCCACCGACGACAGGCATACCCCCGACTATTATTCCTTCACAGTGGATCGGACTGATAGGCGAAACTATTGTCGTCACTTGTTTCCCGTCCCAAGCAGCGAACGTCACCTGGTCTCGCGAGAGGAACATTCCATTGCCGTCGACAGCCAGTCAGAGCGAAGGCGTTTTAACAATCATTAATCCGAGCACTTACGATTCCGGTATCTACGTGTGCACGTCCATCAGCAGCGTAGGAACGCAGGCCAATAATACTATCAACATTAGCGTAAACAGAAGGACTCCGCCGTCGGTCAAGGTAAAACCCGAGAGGCAAACTGTCTCCCAAGGTAGCGTAGCTGAGGTGAGATGCGAGACAAGCGGAGAACCAGGTCTACAAGTGAGGTGGAGCAAATATTTGGAACAACTAAGTTCGAACGTGCAACCAGTGGGAGACCGCTTGAGGATCGTCAATATTCAGATCGCTGACAGAGGCGTCTACGTCTGCCACGTGACTGGGCCGAACGGTGAGACTCACGAAGCCAGTGCCATTGTCGAGGTTGAACCCAGGGAACCAGCGAGAGTAGAGATTTACCCTAAACAAGTGCCACCGGTGATTCTGGGCGGCTCGACGGATCTCCAATGTCGAGCAATCGCTGGTATCCCCATGCCAGAGTTGCAATGGTCCCGTCAGGACGGCAGGCCGTTCCCATCGAACGTCAAACAGCTTCCTGGTGGAGTATTGAGGCTCTCGAACATCACGGCTAACGACGGTGGCGGATACATTTGCTCCGCCGTGAATTCCGTCGGTTCGAACACTGCTACAGTATACATAGAGGTCCATTCCGTGCCTGTGATCGTGATCTCGCCCAGAACTGGTATCTTGAACGTGAAACCTGGCGACAGGGTGCGATTGATGTGCAGCGCAAGCGGACACCCGCAACCCATGGTCTACTGGAATAAACACGTAAACAGAATTTTGCAACCTTTTGATGCAACATCCCCATTTTCCTCTAAACCGTTGAGCGCCGTTTTTGAGATATATTCCGCCTCCATCGAAGACGAAGGCTCGTACACTTGTTACGCGAACAATGCAGCGGGAACTGTGGAGGAACGCGTTTATATCAGCGTCGAAGATGATTATCCACCTTGCAGAGGCGACGTTCCCTGCCCGGATCCCAATCGTCCAGTACGTATTTTAATAATAACAGGATATAGAAGATATTTGCAGGAACTGGTATAAAAATGAATCTCAACTACGATTTCAGCCCAGTAGCGGCCAGGTGGACGATAGAACACCAACGGATTATGTCAGGATACCAGAAGGCGGCAAAGTGGAGATACGCTGCCGCGGAGAGCTCATTGATAGATCTAAGATCTATCTGGAGTGGAGTAAAACCGATCGTAGGCCACTGCCTCAAGGTAGCACCGTGCACGAAGGAGTACTGGTCATCCCCGTCGTGGACAAGAGCGCAGCCGGTGAATACGTCTGCACCGGTACAGATTCAGCTGGCAATGTTCTGTTCATGCGGAAATCCCAACTCGAGGTGCTATCGCCGCCTAGAATCATGCTAGTCCCACCGAGACAGACCGTCCGTGCTGGAGAGAATCCGTCAATTGTCTGTAGAACGACCGGCGACGAACCGATGACCATCGAATGGGCTGCTATCAGTCGCAGTCTTCCTTATTCAGTCACCCAGGAGAGAGGAGTTCTTCAATTCCACGGGATCACATATTCTGATGCTGGAAAGTATGTCTGCAAGGCTAGTAACGACGCTGGCACCGCTGAAGCTGTTGCCGAGGTTTTAGTAAACAGTACGTAACATTTTTTATAAAATAAAGTCTTCGTACTTTGTACTTTATTAATTTTTCTGTAATACTCTTAGAACGTGAAGAAGTCACGGCTGAACAGAGAGACATAGTCACATATGCCGGGCAGCCCGTGCGTTTACGATGCATGGTCAGAGAAAGAGCAACCATACACTGGAGCAGAGAGGGTCAACAGATGCCATCGAGTGCCAGGATAGAAGACGATTATTTAGAATTACCTAGAGCGATGCCGGAAGACAGCGGAAGGTACATCTGCCAGATCCATACGCCACACGGAGTGTCCAGCGATTACATCAACCTAAGCGTCTCGCGTAAGTCTAAACACATTTTATATTAATACTGCATGGAGTTGCTCTTTCTCGTCTACCTATTCTACGTTTAAGAATTCTTTCCCTGTTTCTAAATACGAAATGTCAATTTTCAAAATTGATTTCGATCAGGAGATCGTACATACATTTAAAGCATGAATCGCTTTGAGTTTGAGTTTGATATCGAGGAGACGTACACGTCGCGTAGAGAGTCCACGCGTTTTTTTACTTGTGTTATTCAGAATATTATTTATTAGTAGTTAATTCGGATTGCACGCGAGCGAACCAAACCCAGTGCAGGTGCGTGTGCAACATTCAAGGATGCTTTCTGTTGGGTTACTTTTGCAACGTCTACCAGAACGTTGTCTACGAACCAACGCCGATTCGTCACTACGTTCACCAACGACGCGGTTTGTTCTGATACAAGCAAACAACAATTATGTGTCAGTTCCCGATATTTGTGACGTCTGTCGGATAATTAACGCTTCTCCCTCTTACTTTAAAATAAATTAACACTTTCGCAGTAACTGTTGTTTCACATTTATCACAAGATGTTCTTCTCATATCCGAATCAGATAGAGAGATACAGTACTGCGAAAGTGGTAGTCGATGTTCCCTTGCACCATGATACATTGTGATCATACGAGCACCTGGAAAACTTCGTGACAGCGATCGATCATTAGTAAATCATCAAGTCGTAGCAAGGTAGTCAAGCATCATTATTTGTGTTCGTTTTCCTATAGAGTAGTGCGCTCCCAAAATGGTATGCAGTTGTCTATTGTTGCCCATTGTCATAGGAAGCAGTATTGGAAGAGGGTCACACGTTTGTACGGCTTCAGAATTATAATTTCCACTTCTCTCTACTGATCCTGGTGTGTAATATATATTTTAGCAACCGGAGTTCCGGCCGTTAGCGTCGAAGTCTCTCAAGACCCGGTGAACATCGGTGACACTATCGAAATACGTTGCGCCTGCTCTGGCGCGCATGATCCCCGTTACCGTTGGTCCAGACCTAATCATCCCAGCTTGCCAGAGAACGCGCGTGAATACGGTAATGTTCTGAGATTGACCAACGTCGCCGTGAGTGACAGTGGATTATACAGATGCACGGCGGACACCCCCGAAGGAGTTTTCGATCAGGACTTCAACCTCGTCGTTCATGGTAATACTTCAGACTCGAGATTTATTGTTAATATTCTTTTGATCCATTTAATCGTGTAAGCTATCGGTAAAATAATTAATACAACTTCTGTGTAATTAATGCTTGCAAAATTGTGATCGTACGTGAGTATACGACGAGAGATAGGAAGTAGCGATAGCTCATTAAACGTGAGTCGCGGTTCTCAGGTGGAAACAACGACGCACCAGCGATCGAGACGAAACACGCGCCTTACGGGTCCAATTTAGAGATGGACTGTCGTCCGAACATCGAGTCACCCACGAAATTCCAGTGGACCAAACTTGGAAGCAATCTCCCGCCCGATGCTCAAATCGCCGAGGTACTTAAAAGAAGCACCGATTCTTTAAAAACCAGTAAGTTCTTTCGTTTTCTAATCTAAATTCTTTCTCAGAATAAATTGAAACTCATCAACGTGAAAGCGGAAGACGCTGGCACTTACGTCTGCTCTGTGAGCAACGATCACGAGAGTATCGAGATACCAACGGTGTTAGTGGTAACGGGAGTGGTGCCGCTCTTTAACCAGGCGCCTCAGAGTTTCATAGCATTGCCTCCTCTATCAGACTCCTATCTTAAATTCAATATCGAAGTTTCGTTCAAACCGCAGAGCTATGATGGGATTATTCTGTACAACGACGAGACCAACCGCGGTAAAGGAGACTTTATACTTTTAGCTCTTGTGAGAGGCTACCCGCAATTCAGGTAATTAAATAATCAATTATAAGTAATTATTTATTTATTGATTGAAAGATTTTTACATTCAAGAAAATTTATACATTGTATCATCTGGTTTCCAGTTTCGATCTAGGCTCTGGCCCGGCGGTAATTCGAGCAGACAAGCCCGTGACGCTCGGAGAGTGGCACACCGTGAAACTCCAACGTAATAGAAAAGAGGGAACCATGCTGGTCGATGGTGAAGGTCCTTACAAGGGAATTGCGGCTGGTAGGAAGCAAGGATTGGACTTGAAAGCTCTGTTATTCGTCGGCGGCGTTCCCAGCGACAGTTCGATCACCAAATACGCGGAGATAAAAACCGGTTTCGTGGGATGCATCAGTAGATTGGTGATCGGCGAAAAGGAAGTCGATTTAATCGGCGATCAAACTGACAGCGTGGGGATAACTAATTGCGAGATTTGTGCCGAGAATCCTTGTAACAACGGTGGAGTTTGTCAAGAGGCTGCCACGAAGAATGGATACACCTGCCTCTGTCGCGCTGGATACAGTGGAAAGCACTGTGACTACGTTGGACAATCCTGTTACCCTGGTAAATATTCTCTCTTCGATCGTATAATAAATTCGTACACAACAGGTTTTATTAAAATTTATTACACTCTGTGTTCGATTGATGTAATTAGGTGCTTGCGGAGAAGGCAAGTGCGTGGATAAAGAGATGGGCTTCGACTGTTATTGTCCTTACGGAAAGACAGGCTCTCGCTGCGAGAACTCGATGAACATAAACGACCCAGCCTTCCACAACGACAAATCGTTCATAGCACACAATACACCGAAAGCCTCTCGACGGTAGCAATCTCTAATCGTAAAGCATGCTGCTTCAATCTGTTCTCTCTTATACCTTGTAGCAAATTGGAAGCATCTCACCCTTAATATCTTGTATGTCTCGCTTTACAGATCCTAACGCACGACTCCTGTACCACTTTTAATTCGATCCTAATATACACAACGCTATAATACGTATGTTGGGGGCATTAATTTTAGGGCTTCAAACTCCGTCGCATTAATCCGCATCGAGCTTCGACTTGCAGGGCTTCGAACTCGCATTAAATACGCGTAACGAATGTCCTGAATCCTAATTAGGCAATAATGATTTTCAGGGCGAGAACGAGTGCCATGCTAGATCGGTTGCGAACACGCAACGCGGTTATTAGAAACCCACGATCGAGGCCACATCACCACAATAAGATGCATCAACACACCGCCACCGCCAAACACTAGCCTTTCTCTTTTATTTTTGTCGCAAACCAAATTCTTTGCAACAAGAAGAAAGTCATATTTTATTATTAACTGAGAAGTGTTCGTGTAGGGAACGAATCGATAATTATTATTATTATTAATTATTATTATTATTATTTCTTTTTGTGTAACTGCTATTTATAGTTGTCAGTCAGCATATATGTTATATGTATATTATATATAGTTTTTTTTATGAAAATTTTATTTACGATTAGACACTATTCTGCCTCACACACTGTGTCATAGACGATCGCGATCGGAGCCTGTATAGCGAGTAGTTCCTCGGAATGAACCTCATGGTGCTGTAATATTAGAATTATCACTCGATTTTACTTTACTTTATACTTATTCATAGAGTATCAACCCTTCATGGTCCTCGATCGACTTTCAAACAGTAGATCTGAGCTCTCTTTTGATCCAGTGCCTTAACGCGAGGGGACCGCGAAGGGTTCGCTGTACAGCTTCTTGGAATAATACATTTTAACGCATTTTTTGTTAGTCACGTTTTAAATTAAGCAATTAATTAGATCACTGCCAAACGAGAATCGCATTTCACGGTAGTACCAAGAGCTTCTCTTTAATTCTACATGACACACGCACGCGAAAGTCAGGCACGTGTCTCTCCCCCCGCCTCCCCAAAAAAAAAACTCTGTACTTATAATTTTTGTGAAACACCTGTTTGGTGTACGCGTGCCAATGGTGTGTCCCTAGGGCCAGAATCGTCGTTTATGTACTTTGACGGGCTTCCTGCGATGCTATAAGTATAAATATATGTCTTGAGAATGCAAATAAAAATTGATTTAACAGGAGGTCTCGATTATTATTATCCATCCTTGCATCGAAAAGGTAAGTCGCACGTTGCCGAAAGACTCCTGAAACTCTCCTCGAAATCCAACGTCGGTGACAACGAACGGAACGATCTAACATACGAATTTTGTTTCCAGATTGAAAGTGGCTCTGAATTTCAACCCTTCGGACGACCAGGATGGAATTCTCTTTTACTGCGCTCAGTACGACGAGGGCCGCGGTGACTTCGTCGCTCTCGTAGTGAGAGACAGACGAGTCGAGTTCCGGTACGACGTCGGTACCGGTCCAGCGATCATCGCGTCGAGCCACATCCTTCAGCCAGGCGTCTGGACGCACGTGTCTGCTGTTAGGGATTTTAAAGAAGGAAATTTAACTGTGAACAGCGAGCCTACTGTACATGGCAAGTCCCGAGGGGCAGCGCGTACAATGACGCTTAATACTCTGCTCTATATCGGAGGTGTCGACAAGAGGAAGATCGTCGTAAACGAGAACGTGGGAGTGAATAGAACTTTTCGCGGTTGCATCAGCGATGTAAGTGTGTAATATTAAGATGAAGGAACTAATTAAGTTCCTTCATAAATTTTATCTTCTGAATCCAGCTGGGGATCTCTTCGGTGAACATAGACATTCTGAAATCGGCAGTAGACTCCGCGAACATAGACGACTGTAACGTTCTCCACCCTAATCAAAGTAAGTTCATCGGTCTGATCACAACTCCGCCGTCGACCACACCGTACGATCCTTGCGCTTCGAATCCCTGCGTCCACGGGATTTGCCAGACCGCCGACTTCTACGATTACTCGTGCACTTGCGAGTACGGCTACGTGGGCAGGAATTGCGAGAAGATATTGAAACAATGCGAGTTACAATCGCCGTGCATGAACGGTGGTACTTGCACCGATTTGCCAGTCGCCGGCAATTACAAGTGCGATTGTAAACTCCGATTCAGTGGACAGAACTGCGAAAAAAGTAATCATAATTTGAACTTCCTACTTATCAGTTCGAATTTATGATTTCTATTTTCTGTCCATTTTCAGCGGCTGAGATATCGTACGATGTCACATTCAAAGGTGATGGCTGGTTAGAATTAGATAAATCGGTGATGACACACGAGGAGGAGCGTGAAGTATTAGGTTTCGAAATCTCAACGAATAAAACCAAGGGTTTGATCATGTGGCACGGGCAGACACCGAACGATCTCAACCCCGATCACTACATGGCTCTAGCCGTGATCGATGGGTACGACATTTCCATTATTTTAAGAACATGTACTGACTTAATTTATTATCGTTTCAGGTACGTGGAATACCAGTATAATCTCGGCGCGGGTCCGGTGGTGATTCGAGTAACGGCACAGAAGGTGGACGACGGGGAGAGACATAGGATAATTCTAAAACGTCAGGGAAGCGATGGTAGTATAGAATTAAACGGGGAACACATGGAGAGTAGCGCTAGCTACGGAATACATCAAGATCTCAATGCCAGGGGTAGCGTCTACTTGGGAGGGGTGCCCGATTATGCTATGACTTATGGCAAGTATCAAGACGGTTTCTCAGGTTGCATCTATACCATGGAGGTACAGGACTCCGGGGCTATAAATATTGGCGAGAAGGCCTTGAGGGGGAAGAACGTCGCTCCGTGCACCAGGTGAGAAATCGTTCGTTCGTATCTTCTATCGATGATTGCCCGGTCTCGTATATCCCTTCTCGCAATCGTTAAATAAACTTAGAAATCAGTTTCTATACATGGTTAAAAATCTTTTATTAATCGGGCGTATTAAAAATCGACTTTGCCCAGAGCGAGGTGGATCCCATCTTCGTTGGTATACACCAGCGCGGACACGGACACCTTCGACGCGTTCGTACCCCCGCCCCCCGTGAACATAATCCATCCGAAGCCGGCGGTGAACTCGGTGGCCGGCCGCAACGTTAAAACTCCTCACTCGTTGCTCATTTTGCTGGAAAACCTGCTCGCCTTCGCTGTCGACGACGCGATCCCGACAGTATTATGCGTAGACGCCGTGTACGCGATCAAATACTTCCTCAGTTAAGTGTTTCTTAAACCGAAGAACGCGTGTCCCAACGCGCGGTTCCCTCGCGTTGAGACACGCGTTCCGATCCCTGTAATTAATCCGACTTGTAAATTGTTCTAACGCTTCGTTGACGCTTGGAGCAAGGTAAATTATTCTTCTCGTGTACATCTGTTAATCGATTAACAGCCGTTTGGAGTCTGTTCTATGCTTCCAGGTATTGGGACGACAAGCTTCCAGCGAGAGGAGATCTTGAAGCGTTCCGCAATAAATTCACATCGTTCCGTATCTTGCTCTAATTAAAAATAAGATCGGGGATGTTAATAAAGTTGGGGGATATGCTATATTATTATCAGAGCGAGAGAGGCATGAGCAGTTTTATATCTGTAGTTATACAGAGCACACTCCGACGATATTTTCTAACGGGATCGACTACATTTTATACGATTATTCGTTTCTCTGAGAGAGTAAGGTTCTTTTTCATTTTTCACTGCCATACGATTATTTTACCTTAGCTAAATGGTAGCCAGCAGTAGTTTCTGAAACGTCGGGCCCGTGTTTGAGATTTCCTTTCGATGTTCGTCTGGACCAAAGGATGATAGGTGTTCGACATGAGTTTCTTTTTATCAGAGCTCCGGTTTTTGTGATATCAAAGGAAAGTTACTTAAAACGAGTATTCGCATAGTTAAGGCGCGGTGCTAGTAACTTGTATTTGCTAATTCTAAGGAGAATCGCATAAAACGGCGTTGTACATAGATGAATGCCAATCGCGGTTCGGATTAAGGAGAGGAATTACAGATAAGAGACTTAGACTTTTATTCGAATATCATTTATTTATCTTTATTCTCATCTGTTGGCATGTCCGCCTGTTGTCAATTAACAAACTCAATATCGTAGGCATTTCCTTTTTAATAAACAAAACGTGTTGCAAAATATTAACTTGGTTTTATTCAAAAGTTCTAATCTTTGGTTTCGCGTATTAACAAAGTCGATCGATTGTTTAATTAATACGTATACATATATATATATATATATGTCGGTATATCAAAAGATTGTAAATGATCATGTACAGAATTTAACGAAAGTGTAAGTACGCCGCTCGAATCTTTAACACGTTATTATACATATTAGTCCAACATCGAACGAATGCTTTCTGAATGTCCGATGCAAGTGTTTAGCCGTTGCATTATACATATTTACTATTATAATACAATTTCGTATATAATATACACGTATACATAATAAGCATAATTATTAAAGAATACGGATAAACGTATAATCCATCAACTGAAAGTATCTAACGATGAAAGTGTAGTCTATTGTTATATGATATTATAATTCTTTCAAATGAAATGAGACAATAAATATAATTTTGTTAAGAACACTCGTGTCACGGCTCCCCATCGCGATTTACAAAATAAGGGATTAGTACAAAGATTAGATTTATTATACTCCTGAGAAATTGACATAATGCAAGTGCCGTTTACTTAAACGCAGACCGGCTGCTATAAATTCAGTTTGTAGCCAGATATGAAAGGCATCCCCGTCCCGACCTTCTTCTGGTAATCGACGTAGTCCTGTCCGAAGAAATTCAATAGAGTAGTCTCCTCGAAGTATATACGATCGCGGATGAATTTCCATGCGGCTGCGATGTATGCCAACAGGCAGAGCGGATTCTGTAGTATCAACTATCAAACGAGATACGATTAATTCCTCTGCGTTTCAATAAAATACCTCTCGTTACTACCTGAGTTCCTATGGACCAATAAAACCATCCGACGTAGCTCGGATGCCTGCAAACCCTGTACACCCCGTGAGTGACCAGTTCATGACCATCTAATTTCTCGTCCTGCACGATGTGACTGAAGTTCTGCTTGGCAGTGAACATTGCCAGCTTCCTCAGAAGCTCTCCGCAGACACACAACACTAAACCGAAATAGGATACAGAGCTGGGCTCCTTTATGCTAGGGAAGTACTGCCTCTCAGCCACGAATTCCATCCAACTAGAGCTTGCTGCCACCCCGTAAGCTATGCTATGGTTCAGGATGAAACTGTCTATGGACAGGGCGGACGGGTTTATACAAGCTATGCCCAGGAACTCGGTGTAGTGAAACGTAGCCATTACGGTGATGTACATGCCGAACATCTGCCACGAAGGGCTGGCAATCAATGAAACTATGATCCCAATACCGAAGACATATCCTAGAAATGCTGCTCTCACAGCGACCTTTACAAAAACGAGTTCAACTGTCAGACACTTGTGGCTTGTATTTAAAATGGATAGTGGTAATAATTTTGAGAAGAACCTGATAAGAGAAGCCGCGGAAGGCTAGTAGTAGGAGTATGTTTAAAAATCCATACTGGAAGAGGTGTGTGAGCCAGATCTTGTTGAAATAGGCCTGCGGAACGTCGAACTCTAACCTGAGTAGCACTTCTGGAAGGATAGCGATTAGAGAAGCGGCAGTAAAACAGAACAGACTGAGTTTCCCATCGTAGCACAGCATTTTCTTATATTTCCAATTTCGTTTCCTTTCGTTTGAACTATTAATTCCCGTTGGTTTGGGTACCAACGTTACGTTATACACAAGATAACAGATATCAACCTCGCACAACAGGTTTCACATGAATATAAATCTTTTAATTACCAATCCTCTTTACTCGCTTAGAAAAATTACAACACATTGTTTCATATTAACTTTTATGTTCATGGAGCAACTCTAAACGATACGTGAAGTTCAATATCACATTTCTACGTCGGCTTTTCTGCCCTAACCTAACCCTAACTGGTATCTGCTGGAGTCCAGATCCAGCAGACTCAGACAGTAGAAAAAAGTAGCTACGACAACAGTCCAAGAGAAATTCAAGACGAGTAGTTTCGCTCCTATAGTGAATGCACAAGGTAAAATATATGAAAACCTATTGTAAATTCTCAATCTCGAATTAAATATCAAGAAGTACATATAAGAACAAGCTTCGAGATAGCATAGAAGGATTCGTGTAACGATATTCAGACTCGATTGCGATACAATTGAATCCTAATTAAAATTCGAATTAAAATCATAGCCAGAAGCTTCTTTAGAGTCTTTGAATTATTCTGAAGAAAGAATCTTATTCGATCGACACGAAGAAAAATAAATTCTACCGTACAGATTTCGATGAGACACGATTCAAATTAAAGCTAGAGATCCCAGAAGCATGGATAGACCATACAGAAAGACTTAATCTCGATTTTTCATTCAAGACGCTTCCTCGATTAATTTTTAATTAGTGTTACGAAAACGATGATCGCGTTAGTCTTTAGGGCATTCAAGAATAATGAGAATGAAATTCCTAAAATCTTAGAACACCGGCTAGCAATCCTTTTCAAATCTAAAATAATCATAGCGGGCATGTTTGCGCAGTTCGAATGCGCGATTCGAACCATTGGAAGTTAATATCTGAAGAATAATTCCATCGCACAGCAGTAGTGCGTTCGCTTTCAATCTGGACGGGTTTACCACGCTGCCAGCGCTGCGCATGCGCGTTTCCCTGACTGTCATGGCGGACGACGAGTGGATGTTTTGTACCGACAAGGGTGTTTCTACTTTTATTAACGACACAATGCTAACGAATCAAAGTGAAAATGTTATCTTAGTAGAGAACAAGCATTAGCAGTGTTTATCAACGAGTCTTGTGCGAATTGATAACAGTTGGGCCGCGAGTTCTCGTTTGTAGTCACCACGTGCCTGAGCTTGACAAGTGGTGAGGGAAGCCGCTGTTTTCGTTCATGTTCTAGGTACGTAATCAAAGTTACTTAATTGTCGACTCATAGAATCAAAACACACTACTTGTTTAATACAACAACGAACAATCCTCAAAACCTGATCAACTTGTGTGTAATCGTAAACCGTGCAACTTTTCTGTTGCAGATAACGCTTTACCCTCGCCCACGCGTCAACAGTTGCTTAACCGCGACGAAATAAAAAAGCGAACGCGCCGGACGATAACAAGTGAATCTAAAGAAAAAGAAGAACATCATCCTGGTTATTTCCGAAATATTCGCCGGTACACCCATCCCTAGAAGATGGCACTGATCACGAGTGTACTTCGTCTGTAATCACTCAACGGGAGGACGCATGAACGCGATTACTGCAGAGATTTGGACATGGAGGAGCAGCCGAGGAACAGCGAAGGGCCGCCCATGAACTCTTCTTCGTCTTCGACAGACGGTGAGTGTCTTGAAATCGAAATCTTTTATCTAAAGGTAAATATTGTCTATCTACTATGTTTCCTGCAACACGTGAAAGTTCAGTGAGAACTTCACGACTGCGTTCAAGTTACGTTGTTTAAACTGAGAGTATTGTTTAAACTAAGATTGGGTTTGGGGGGTGATGAGCAATTTATATGATTGCGAGTAACAGAGAATTTGTTGTCCCAAATTAAATTGTCCGGTCCGGTATTAATGGGAGCCACTGCACATTATGTGTTGGCGATCATTACGCAATTAACACGGACATTTCATTAGCGCGGTACCCCGGCACGCGTAAGCGTCTCACAAAAGTCTCGCATGAAACGGAGCGAGACTCGAGTGATAAAACGAAATCGTGAGGCCCGGCTGATAACCCCCGTGATCCTCCGCTGCGCAGCAGCAAAACTTGTATATTCCCTGCATCTGTCTGTCGACAAACGCTATACTATCGTCCTCACCCTCTTCCTTTACCTTCTCAGAGTCGCTCTCCCTCCCTTGTGCTCGACGATACGCGAGACATGAACGAGCACGAGCTAATTAGTCGTGCACGCTTCCTACTTTTCGCGTGGTTCACGCGTGACTCGCTGTCGCGTGGAAACCGACGCTGAAGAAATCTCCGACAGTAATTTCTCAATTTAATCTTCCCTCCGATAATAAGACTTGTAAAAAAGAGGAACGATGTTTCTTAAATGCGATCTGCAATTATCATTTTTAATTACATTGATGTTATTCTTAGACGGAAAAATTTTCCAGTTACTCTATTCTAAAGCGTTTCAACATTTAGTATTAGACGTGGCCTCGCTGAGCACACAAAATTCAATTTCTAGAATTTCTTAAACGCCGTCTTTAAAGTGGTAATGTCCGGATTCTTTCTTTCTATACCTACTGACTCTCAACATTACATATTATAAGTACGTATTTCATAATCGAACAGTTTTGAACACGAGGAAGCGTGGCTAATCGTTTCAAAACTCTTCTTTAACCGGAGACACCGTAGAAAGGAGTCTTTTTCTTGAACGAATAATACACTAGTTACGAATGGCACGTCAGCTGAATAGAAAACTCAATGGATCTCGATAACACCGTATGGATGATTATGTAAGGGATAGAATAAGCAAGTCGAATCGCGTATGGTTGTTATTATTACAACTGTGAATTTTTATAACTAAATTTAAATAATGAGAAACGTGAACGAAATGGATAGCCCAGGGATTGAAATCATCTTCTCTCTTTTAAAAAATTATCTTGCAATAAAAAGTATCTCCTTTTTTCGAATTCAGATTGATGAATATTCACTGACAAAATGACATTTATAAACTTCTCTGCATACAAGTTAGGAATACTATTAAATGCCATTAAATTCATTCTCGCATAATAGTAAACGAGATATATTTTGTTGCATCAAACATAGTTCGAGCTGTGTATGGTACACTGTTTTTCGCTCGAGGAATAATAATCATTTACATAATCTCACTATCGCGGATTTGTCATCAATTTTTAAAGATTAGATTCAGCTTAGAAATAGAGTCACCCTTGACTCACAGACTCGAGAGGGGAGAAGTTTATTTCCTTCCGTCAGACAAAGCTATTAGCCAAGGGAAAACTGTATTTAGAAAATCGATAGAAAGACAGTTAAGTTTGACTCATCCGAGATCTGCCAAAGTCAATATCCGTGTTCAAGTATTTACACGGTTGTTCGTAGGTACGCACAATTTTCGATGATATACGTGCGTTTCATTATCAGGAAACTTTTCCATTCTATTCGATGCGTTTGCTTCATTTTTCTTAGCTACTTCTATATCGCCCGGGTAACAGTGTGCCTGCTTTTTCTGATAAGCATCCACCGAACACAGTGTTTGTAAATATTCTCCTATAGAATTTCTGGGAACTTTATAATCTATCATTCCTGTCTTCTCCATTTTTGATGCACGCATTATTAAGGTTCTATGAGTCGTAAAAACTCTGCCAAAAGGCATTGTTGCTGTTTTTATGTATGGATTCATACAACCTTAACGCGAGGAATAAAACGAACGTTTTCAATAATAATTAGACTGCAGATCTTCGTGCAAAATAAGAGATTTATCAAATTACGACATACTTAATACGCGCAGTTAAACTAGCGCGTAATACACGTAAACTCAATATCATTTGCGAAGAGAATTACATTACGAACGTGATCCAATCGTATTTTATTCGCCCAGTAATCCTCGAGTCAGTGAGAAAAGATAACGCTTATCAATTTCGTCTTGTATCGATAGCTTCAAGAAAAAAATAAGAGTAATAACAATAGAACAGTAAGTTCAGGTGCGTCGAATGAAATCCCATGCGAGGAAAATTAATCTGAAATATACGATTGTTTATCTCTCTATTATTTTAACAGTGTTTATAGACGCAATAAAGGAATCAGAGATTATGTATTGATAATATTTATTTAGAAAATAGGGCATAGCATTTCTGCTGCTGGGATGTAATTCTAATCTTTTTAGAACAAAGCAAATTTAAGCAAAGCGTTTATAGGTTTCGTTCTACGAATCCACAGTCTAATTATTATTACACGATATACATATATACAAGATTAATTATTAAATGAAGAATATGTACATGATCGTTATTAAAGTGTACATTATAATTGTCACATACCTGCTTATCTCGCGGCATGATCTTTATCATGCTCGGCAACAACTTAAGCTGAAATAATCTTTTCGTATAGTCATTAATCATTCTAATCGGCGAGTGATCAGAGATAGGTCAGTAAAAAAATGTTCCCCAGGATTTACCGCGCTGGAGAATACTTACTTACTTACTTACTTACTTACTTACTTACTTACTTAAAATAATCGGAGACAGATGAACAGCGAGAGTTTAGTTATATAATATAATATTTATACATACAGATTTTCCGCAATTAAAAAGTGCAGTCGCCTTCGATAATCTACTCTTCACGTGATGCGTTTTCTAAATTGAAATATCTCAAGTATTTACGGGTTAGGATGTTCCAAACGATGAGGGCAGAGAAGTTCAAACGTGATTCTTCGGTGAGGAAACGAGAAAAAAGAAGAATATCGTAAAAAAAACGAAAGGAATTGACAAACTGTCCGGAGAGACACGTTTCGAACGCATGCCGAGCCGAAGGTTGCTTGCTAACGAAGTTTATAAGCGAAGGGGGGGTCACACTCGATAACCCCGAAGAATACCCACCACGCAGCATTAAATTTATATGTATATCGTCTATCGATTATGCGAGATAGATTTTACGGCTTACGATTCTTTCCGATTCCACTACCTTTACACTCTTTAAAAAATCCCATCCAAATCAGTCGTTACTCTGATATCCTTTAATTAAATCTAAATACAATTAAAGTTCAGGTTCCATTGTAAATTAGGTTAGATTGGGTTCTTAAATTCAATTAAAGAAATAAGGCTATAAGTTGTGGCCATTGTGAATTTAGTTAGGTTAGGTTATTAAATCTAAATTCAATTAAAGAAATAAGGCTGTAAGTTGAGGTTCCATTATAAATTACGTTAGGTTAGACTGGGTTACTAAATCTAAATTCAATTAGAGAGATAAGGCTATAAGTCGAGGTTCTATTATAAAGAATTTCATTTCGGCTTAATTATTTTATTTCGTCTTTTCGATGCATTCGAATTAATAGAATGGAGGAATGAATAAATATTGAACAGGAAATAAAATACTAAAATCTGTGCAGCATCAGAAAAAGATGATTTGCAATGGAAAGTTCATGTTAATTCTTAGATAAAAATTTAACGAGCCTTTTATGTGATACATGCGAACGCGTATAAATATGATATAATTGTACTATATATGAAAGTAAAGTCGTAAACAAACGCGTGCAAAACATAAAAATTGTCAATTCATGCACGGGTTCCGTTTTACCATTCCGACTTACATTAGGTAACAGAACCATTAATTAATTTTATGTCGATTTACAAAATCGCAAATGATTTTTAAAAGCAGTTTTGATTTTTCGTTAATGGAACAATTCAGAGACATTTTATGTTCCTGATAATCATTGTTAGAGATTATAATAAAAAATCTTGAATGCATGGAAGCGCCTCATAGGCGTTCTGATCTCTAACGAAGATCGTAAAAGTCTTTCCTTTACTTAGTCATGCTTGTAAAAGTTAGGTTTCACAGAAAAATCTGTGGTTTGCTGATTAACTTAATATATAAGTCAGAGCATTTATTTTACATATGTAATTCTTCCACCACCGAGTCGCAGCAGCCCCTCCACGCTTTTTCCTAACCCCCACCGGGAGTGCAATGTAACCAGGCGTCGTATATACGCGATATACTTGAGGCTCAGTCGCGCAACGACCTTCGCGCGCGATGGTCGCACGGTAAATTTAGTGTATAACCATAGAACCGCGTGCAATCGAATACATTAGTGTCGATTGAACCGTTTTAGTGACGGAAGCATGACAGACACGTGAATGAGAGAAACTATAGGAACACGTAACTATTAGTTATCATCTGTGAATTTGTGCGTGTCGCTTTTTTTTTTCGCGTGCGTACGCGTCACATTATTCACCCTGAGTCTCCAATTCGAATTCGACGTCGAGATGCGCTTCGACGAGCAGTTCTTCAACGTTTTCGGTAAGTCAGGGAATCTAAATAGTCTGTTAGCACGTATCACCGAGGAGAGATTACTAAAACTAAGAAGCGTATTTCGAGAAGAAAGATTTTTAATTTTCCGAGATTTTATCAAGGGAGGAAATTTGCAGATTTGAAGAAATTTTCCTTTTTCTTCAAATACTCCTAAACTGTTGGGCTTACGGATCTTTTTAATAGATGATAGTAGTATCTACAACTTTCATTTGAAGTATTTTTCGATATTTTGAAGAAAAAAAAATTTTCGATTTTTCCGAGATTTTTCCAAGGTGTACCCC